GAGAACAGACTGGTGGTTGTCAAGGCAGGGGTGGGGGGATGGAGTGAGAGTTTGGGGTTAGCAGATACAAACTATTATATAGAGAATGAATAACAACAAGGTGCTATATATATCCCCGGGAACTCTACTCAATATCTTGTGATAAACCACAATGGGAAAGAATATATGTTGTTGTGTTGTTCAGTCACTCAGTCCTGTCTGACTTTTCGTGACCCCACAGACGGCAGCACACCAGGCTTCCCTGTCCTTCACTATCTCCCAGAGTTTGCTCAAATTCATGTGCACTGGGTTGATGATGCTTTCCAACTGTTGTCCCCTTCTCCTCCTGCCTTCAATCTTTCCCAGCATCAGGGTCTTTTCCAATTAGTCGGTTCTTCTCATCAGGTGACTAAAGTGTTGGAGCTTCAGCTTACTGACCAAACTGATCACATGGACCACAGCTTTGTCTAACTGGACGAAAGTATGAGCCATGCTGTGTAGGGCCACCCAAGATAGATGGGTCATAATGGAGAGTTCTGACAAAATGTGGTCCTCTGGAGAGGGGAATAGCAAACCACTTCATTATTCTTGCCTTGAGAACCCTATGAACAGTATGAAAAAGCAGGTCTGGAGCTCATGTTTTTAATAAAAAGCTTGGTATTCTGCCTCTTCCCCTCCCCCCCACTTCAAAGACATTAAAAATGACAAAAATGAGATGAATGAATGAAAAAAGAGTGTCCACACAGTGTTCCACTGTGGGAGCCAACAGGGTCCCTTGACAGGGTCCGGAGCTGGAAAGCCCCCCCGCCACCCCCGGCTGGCCTCTTGTCTCCTGGCTGGCCTCTGCGGGTTAGGATTTTCAGTGGCAGAGGCCAAGTCACCTCACATTCGTGAGCTTGGTACTCCTGCTTCTGACTTCCCGACTCTTTCCCGTCATCAGCAGCTGTCTCGGCACCTCAGACCTCAGGGAAGAGGTGGGGAGTGGAGAACCTTGCCAGAAACCCTCCTGGGGACTCCATGACAGGCTGACGGTGAGGTGCCAGGAATACCCTGAAACAGCTAAAAGCCTATGTTGTTGTAGTTTAAAATTTTTTATTAGGGAAATACATGCATAAAGACAACTATCACTACAGAGTGTATAACCCAATCCCTCAGTCTCCAGTCCGATGTCCCTATCTGACCTGGAAACACAGTCTTCTGTTCGGGAAATATTTGTTTTATTTTTTTGAGAAATTCTTATCTTCTTAAATGAGTAAATGCTACTTTTGAATAAAATCTCATAAACAGAAATATATTAAAAAAGATCACCATATGTACCCTATACTGATCATCGTTAACATTTCTTTTTCTCCTAATTCAAAACGTAATTTTGCTCATTAGGAGACAAGTATCTATTGAGTCCTGGGTGGTGCTCCACTGCCCTCTAGAGGTGAAACTGGTGCACTGCAGCCACCTGACCAGGTAGGTAGCGTATGAGGCCGAGTGGCTGAGCATCTCACCAAATAGTTCGTTCCCTGCAAAGATTGAGGCAGAAATTCTAGAATACTCAGTGTAAAATATTGGAANCAGGCCTCCCTGTCCATCACCAACTCCCAGAGTTTACTCAAACTCATGTCCATTGAGTTGGTGATGCCATCCAACCATCCCATCCTCTGTTGTCTGCTTCTTCTCCTGCCCTCAATACATATTAGTGTGTGTGTATATATATAGTATGTTATAATATGTATAGCATACAATATTATATTAAAATTATATATATACTATAGATAATATTTTAGGATTATTTTGGTATATATAATAAATGAAATGAGGAGGGCATGGCAACCCACTGAAATATTCTTGATTGGAGAATCCCACGGACAGAGGAGCCTGGTGGGCTACAGTCCATAGGGTCGTACAGAGTCAGACACAACTGAAATGACTTAGCATGCACACGTGCACTACCATTAATAATCTTTCACTTATCAGATACCCACATGGAGACATTTTAAATTCCTAACATTTTCCCACCCACCTTGCCAAGTAGACTTTATCATCACCTGGATGGTATGGAAATAAGCTGCTCAAGGTAGATAGCTTCTCTGTGGTCACTTGGCTGGTCTGTAGGTCAGATATGAATCTAGTTCCAAGTCCTGCCTCCTGGCTTGCACAAGTTTGAGTGTACAGCATGCCCCTAGGCTCGGATGTGCTAATCCAGTGAATCTCTGGGTCTGCAGAGCTCAGCACCTTCCTCTCCTAGGCCTTGACCTGACTCTCCTGCACCCGCCTACCACCCACACTATTACCTGGTAAATACAGTGGCTCCCACTATCTTTCAGATGACTGCTGTGAGTAGCAATTCCTTAGGAAGACTTCAGTAATTCTCCAAGCTCAGATGAGCTGTCTCTCCTCTGGTCCACTGGAGCACAAATCTCTCCATTTTACCATCTACTTATTGTTGCCTCCTCCCCACCAGTCTGCCACCACTGTGACAGCGCCAAGTACATACATGTACTAGGAGTTCAATAACCACGTGTGAAATAAAATTGACACCACATGTTGCCCCAGTTGGACACAGCCTGGGAAGGGAAAGTTCCCCTCCTCCCTGCGGTGAACACTGCAGCCTCAGGAGCAGAAAGGTCCCCAGAGGCTGGAGCCACGAGCCTCTGCGCCTTCCTCTGGCTCTACGAAGCCATAAGCTTAATGCACCCAATTCCCATACAGAGCGGTGCATTTTGGAGTCTCCCCATTGCCTGGTGGGACGCCGTCTATGGGGTCGCACAGAGTCAGGCACAACTGAAGTGACTTAGCAGCAGCGGCAGCACTGCTGTTGACTGGCATTTCAGACTCTCATGAATCCACCTGGGAAGTAAATTAAATTCATTCCTGTGACTCATAGAAAGTCACATACACCCTCGTCCTGTGACTGAACCAAGAAGGTGAATCAAAATGCTTGAGGGGCCTCTCCAGTCATTACAGTCCTCACCCCACCCTCCTCCTTTTGCCTCCAGGGGCTTTGTCAGTGTGGAAGGAGTGTTTCCGGTCCAGGAGTCCCTCCCTAGGACTCCCCACTGTGCATGGAGAATCCCGTCTAGGGGGAGCATCCTCACTATAAAACCAGTTGTCTCTAGATTTTTTTTTTTTAATTGCGTTTTATTTATTTATTTTTGACTGTGCTGGGTCTTCACTGCCACACTGGCTTTTCTCCTGATGCTGTGAGTGGAAGCTACTCTCTAGTTGTGGTGCTCAGGCTTCACGTTAAGGTGGCTTCTCTTATTGCAGAGCACGGGCTCTAGATGGGCAGGCATCAGTAGTTGCAGGCTGTGGGCTCCGTAGTTGTGGCTCCTGGGCTCTAGGGCCTGCAGGACTCAATAGTTATGGGTGCATCAGGCTTAGTATCTCTGTGGCATGTGGGGTCTTCCCAGACCAGGGATGGAACCCATGTCTCCTGCACTGGCAGCGGATTCCTATCCAGTGTGCCACCAGGGAAGTCCTGTTTCTAGATTTCTCAGAGCCAGAGAGAATGTTGGCCATCAAGTCCAGACTCATCTAGTAAGGGGGAACCCCACTTCCTTTATGTAAAACATTCAGAGAAGGAGGGAGCAGTGGGAATGCTGGGAGGACAGGTGTAGAGGGAATTCATGTGAATAACTTAAGCACTTGTTTTTGCTCCCAACTTTCTTCGTGCTGTGACTCCAGAGAAGACAGGGTCACGTTCATAATCCACTGTCTTCATGACACTTTCTATGGAGGGTCCCCTCAACCCACTGTCCTCCTCTCAGTGGGGACCACAGGTTGTCAGGAGCCCCAGAGGGCCCTGGCTGGTTGCTGGGCAAGCCACAACGATCCCAACTTGTGCTTCTCTAGTTGGAAACACATCAGAGGAGCCCAAGTCTCCTGGACCATAGCAGCCCCAGAAGGTGTCCAGTAAAAGGGATCTGCATACACAAGAGAATGAACACATTTGCAGATGAGTTTTTCAGACAGTCTTTCTCAGTCTGTACCTTGGAGACAGCGAATGGGGCCTTGCCAGAGAAGCTACGAGTCATGGCCCTGCCCATTGCTTGCTCCCACCATGCGTTCTACTTTATACACACTCACAATCCCAGGTGCACGTATGTGAGAGGGCATGTACACACACACACACACCACGGTCCCTCCTCTCTCCACTATTCCCCACTCTCTGCCTCCATCCTTGGTTAATTGCTGGCAAAGGAAAGAAGCCGATTGGCCCACAGTGGTACCCTGTGCTGCCCCCAAGCATCTCGGGATGAAGACGAGATGCAGCTTCCAGATCAGGGTCTCACATGGCAAGCCCAAACCACACCAGACTTGGGGGCTGGAGGCGCCTGCCTCCCGGGGCCCCAAGGCAAATACACACCTGGCTCTCAACTCGGAGGAGTGTCCTCTGCATGTGACAGCTCCCTCCTTCCTGCCTACCCTTTCGGTGTGGGAAGAAATTCATCTGCAAGGTTTGCAGGGGAAGAGATGGGGCGTGAGAGAACCCACAGCTTCTCCCATTTGCAGGATGTGCTAAATAGTCTTAACAGGTGGCAAATTACTACCTGAGGAGTGTAAGGAGTTGGGGGGCAGGGGATCACCTGGCCATGGAGCCCCACATGAGTGGGGAGAGGCAGGTGAGTGGTGGAATCGCTCTCAGTAGTGGGGATCCCCCCCGGGGCACTGAAATGTGCCTGCTGCCTAAACCTGGGTGACACGCCCAAATAGATGTATTGCCCTCCCACTTCAAGTTCTTCTGCATGAGTCACAGTTCCCCAGGGAGCCCTCTGATTCTTTGACTCACCAGGATCCAGGGCTCTAACCCCACGGTAAGAAGAAAATTCATTGCCCATCTCTGAACTAGTCAGGCACAGCTGAGCACACATCTCCCATTCTCAGCAGGAACACTGCTCACAGAAGGCACTGAGTTTCAGCTCTGACTCTTGGAGGGAGAGGAAAATAGGCATCTAGCCTGCAGCCCGTTCTAACAGCAGTAACTTTCCAAGTTAATGTAAAAGGGGAGACAGAGGCAGACACTTTAATCACGCATCTTAACTCCATTTTATTACAACATCAAGGAAAATAATTAGTTGCAGGAGGAATGATCCTGGAGATAAACAGAGATTAAGCTGCTCACAACTGCATTGTCTACACCTTCCTACAAGGGTATAAATATCACGGGTCTCTGTGCATGCATTGCGGGACTGCGGTGCACATGGGTATCATGTGATGAGAACCTGTCTTGAGGGCGCTGTTCCTTTTTAATTTCTTGATGGATGATGGCTGAAGCTGGTGTCTCCTGGCAGACTAGGAAGGGACTTTCCCGCTAGGACTGGGACCCGGCCTTTTTCTTCTGGAATTTTCTGAACTGAGACTGGATGGCCACCGCCGCGCGTTCTGTCTCTGGCGCATCCATGTCGATGTCGAATTCCTCTTGAACCTTCTTCTGCCCATCTGGAGCAAGAAAAGCACAAACAGAAGGCGATCACTGAGCAGCGAGCAGGAAGACAGGGGCTCTGGATCAAGCCAGGCTCCGAGCGCCACGTGGCACCTCCCCCAGCACGAGACCTAATTTGCAAGGTACCAGCCAGCAGAGCGTGTCCTGGGCTCCCTCAGAGCTCAGAAGCAGCCGATATCTTCTGACTGCCGAGTCGCTACCCCTGCCAGGGAGGGATGAGGAAAGTCAGAAACAGAGTCTCAGCATCGTGGACACTTTGTGTACCAGTCTCTGTTCCTTGGGGCCCCATTTAACATCGGGATTAATGTACACAGACTGCTATATATAAGATAGGGTTTCCCTGGTAGTTCAGTTGGTAAAGACTTCACCAGCAATACAGGAGACCCAAGTTTGATCCCTGGGCCTGGAAGACCCCCCTGGAGAAGGAAATGGCAACCCAGTCCAGTATTCTTGCCTGGAAAATCCCATGAACAGAGAAGCCTGGCAGGCTACAGCCCACGAGGTCTCAAGAGTCAAACACAACTTAGTGACTAAACCACCATATGTAAAATAAATGCCAAGGACCTACTATATAGCACAGGGAGCTCTATTCAACATCTTGCAACAACCTATGATGGAAAAGAATCTGAAAAAGAATATACATATACGTGTATGTGTTTGTACTCTCCTGTACACTGAAACAAGCGCAGAACTGTACTTCAATTAAAAAAAATTTAAAACACTAACAGTGCTATTATTTTCCTCTGCTTTCTCATGTAGATACAATTTTTTTCTTTTTTTATGTTTTTACTGATTTGTATTTATTTTTTTATCTTTGGTTATATTTATTTTTAATTGATTGCTGATTGCTTTACAATATTGGTCTGATTCCTGTCATATATCAACATGAATTAGCCATAGGTGTACATATGTTCCCCGCCTTCTTGAACCTCCCAAGATACAATTTAAATAGTGCTACAGATAATAGACCGAGTGGTAGCTCTTGCTCGGAACAGCTCCAATTAACAGAGGCACTGAGCTTCCATGCACACACACCTGAGATTTACTGATTGAATGAGGGCTTCTTTTTCTACCATTGTCACAGGTGGATGATACCATCCGACCTTCACAATCAAGCTGGACTTGCACATCTTAACAATTTGTTTCAATGATGTAGGCTTCACATTTGTTTGCTGTGGCAGGGGGCTGAACTCATTCACAGTTAAGATCCTTGAAAACAGGATAGGAGCCATGGTGAAGTGATCACCTGTGTTGAGGCTGCCTTTGTGCTGTGTACATTTCTAGCCAAATATAAGAAAAATAAATAAACAGACCCTCTAGTCACAGAAGGGAAGAATCGTTAATACTCCTTCAGTTTAGTGACAGCTGATCATCAGAATCATCAAAGGCACTATTTTGTAATAGAGACATGAGGACCCATCCCAGACTCAGGGTGCCTCTTCATGGCCATAGCGGAAGCACTCCTTCAAACAAGACCAAGTTAGAGTAATCAGCATCCCTGGGCATAGGGTCAGACAGTCCTACTTTCTAAAAAATGCTCTCAGGTGATTTCCAGATGCAGCTAGGGTTGAGATCCAGCTACTTGGCTTAAGATGAAGTAACAAATAAGGCCCTGGGGTTAACTCCTGAAAGAACTGGAGGCAGAACCCACCCCCCCCAACTTGGCACCTGGGCTGAGAACATCCCTGCCATCCTGGGCTGGCACCTGGAGCAGAGGTCAGGACAGCGTGTGGAGCACATCCAGCTTGGGGGTGGAGCACGGAGAGCACAGGAGGCAGGACAGGAAGCCCACCCAGGTGGAGCCCTCCAATCACACCTCCATCTGGGAGGAGAAGATGCTGGCTTTGTAAGCCTTACTGGACTGATTGGCCCATGACCGAAATCAGTAAAATTGTTTCCCTCTATCTCAGATTGACCATTGAGATTTTGAGCAGCTTGATGTCCATGGATTATTTGTGAGTGATATTTTTTAACCCATGAGACCCCAGATGATACAGAGAATCGTGGGATTGTCTCTTACTGTGTTGGGTAGTCATCCACATTTTAATCTCCACTCCAAGTCCCTTTCTTCAGAGATTCTCTAAGAAGCAGAAACATCAGGAAGGATAGGAGTTTCCTGAGGCTCAAATTCATCCTTTAAAAACATTTCACTGAGGTTATCACAGGCTTCCCACATAGCTCAGTGGGAAGAAACTGCCTGCCAATGTAAGAGATGTGGATTGCATCCCTGGGTTGGGAAGATCCCCTGGAGAAGGGACTGGCTATCCTCTCTGGTATTCTCTGGGAAATCCCATGGACAGAGGAGCCTGGCGGGCTACAGTCCATGGGGTCACAAAAGAGTTGGACATGACTTAGCAACTAAACAAAAACAAAAATGATTATCACGAGAGCCTGTGACTGGAGCGCAAGCATCTATCAAATCAAACCAGCGCATGATGGCTCCAGCTCATCTGTCCTTGGCAGGGAGCAGAAGCAGTATCTTGTGCACAGAGAATCATCACCGGAAGGTCTGGAGTCCCAGGTGCTTCTCTTCCCAGAGGAACCCTTCTATCTACTGTACCCTGATTGAAAAGGGGGAGAATGAGATCTGACTCAAAAGCAGATGGGAGATTTTCTCTTTCAGAGTTAAAATGCTGCTGCAGCCTGAAGCTTTAGAGCAGCCTGGTTCGTCTTTTCCCTCTTACAATAACGGAAGAAAACAGCAATATTATTTTTTGACACATGATGAATGAAGATGTGGAAAATTATGTATATTTAGGGAATATGTAATGAGACAGTAAAGACTGGTCATAAAAATGGATTTCGCAATTATATCTTCGACTAATATCTTCAGCCAAAGTGATTTATAGATTCCTCCCTCCTTTGAAAAATATTCCAGTGTTTAAAAAAGAAAACCACTGATGTTTCAGGAGTCTTTACTTTGTACAGTCCAGCATTTCTTGGAGGTCTGCCATGGTTAGGGCTTCCGCTGAGCTGCCCAGGGATGTGCAGAGCATCCAGGACCCAGATTGTGGAGGAAAAGAAATAATTAGGACTGGGGACACAGGGTTCAATGCAAATGATGTGAGGGCCTGGCAATGGGTCCATGTCATCCTGGGAGCTAGAAGAAAAAGGAGCTCTAAGCACCCCACACTCAGCAGGAGTGAGGGAATGATGGAGAAGGGCAACTGAGGGACCACAGTCAGCACCCAGTGGGCATCCCCTCATTGATGCCAAGGCTCCCTCCCTTGACCTGGGTGATGGTGACAGTGGAAGGGTGTAGGAGAGCTACATGAAACCTCCCTTTGCCATCACTCCAGGGCAGATGAGAGATGCCGACCAGCTGCATCAGCTGAAACCCAAAGGTAGGAACTTGGCCTTGCCTGCGGGGGACAGGAAGGGCCCTGCAAGGAGTGGGTTCCCTCCAGGGCACACCCTACCCACTCCCCCCAAATAATTACTCTTCATGGGGCTACCTCTGTCTTATTCTACTCCCTGCTCTACTTCCTGTTGGGTGGTCCATCACCCCATCTGAGCTCCCTAAGGTCGGGGACTTCATCCTTCTTGCTCCAGCGGCTCACATGGGGCCCAGCACATAGCAGGCATTCCACAGCCCTCAGACCCTCCCACCTCTGATAAGGCTGCAGCAGAAACAAGGGTATAGGTCCAGATAAACGGTGGATTGGAGGTGTCTCTGCCTACTCTGGGACCCTCAGGAAGGTTCCTAGCTTCTCTGAGCCTCAGTTTGCACATCTCAAAAATGAAGAGGTAAAACTGTTTTTTAAAGAGCCTGCCCTGGGAATTCAGTGTGGCCTAGTGGTTAGAATTCCCAGCCTTCATTGCCATTGACTGGGTTCCATCCCTGGTCCGGGGACTGATATCCTGCAAGCTGTGTGGCATGGCCAAAAAAAAATAAAAATAAAAACTCAAAGCCTGTTCCAGCTAGTCACGAGCAAATTCAAGGCCATGGTGTAAATTAAACCGAGACCCATTGGGGTGGGGAAGGACTTGCTAAGTCAGCAGAGGATGCAGGCAGTCATGTGGTTCTCCGCCTGGCCATCTGCTCAGTGGTGAGACTCAGGGATGTTTGGGCCCCGATGCAAAGAGGGAAGGGCTGCTTTCCAGCAGGGCCAGCCACGTGACCACCAAACACAGCCAGGCCGGAGCCCCAGGGCATCAGGCCCCACCCAGGTGGCAGGTGGCCTTTGCTGGCTTGTGTTGGGACGGCCCTCACTCAGCAGGGCAAGGCACAGAGAGTCCTCCACCTAAAGATGACTTCTGGGTCCTGCGAATACACACCCGGAACAGTACAGAGAAGGGTGCCACCAGTCCCCACAGCTGGGAGGCCCTGGGGGCATCAGGCTCTGCACACTGCTCCACCCGAAGGGACAGTAGATTCAGGCAAGCCATGCAGGGGACTGACGCCACCCTCATTTCCAGACCTCCCTCCAGCCACCCCTCCTCCCGTGTCCTACGCCCACTGCTGCTCCATGAAGACCATCTGCCGCTCACATCTGCACTGGGTGGGCTGCACCTGGCATTTTTATTTAGAGTCCCACTGCCTGGATTGGACAGCACACATCCCACCCAGTTCCTGACAGTAGCTTTTGAGCCTGAGCGGGCAGTATTTCACCAAAGCACCGTGTAAACTGCCCGGGACTGTGCAGTTCTTATCATTTGTTTCTCTCCAGGGTCCTAGAATTTTAGCATTTCTGTGTGTCCTCCAGGAAGGAGTTCTGAAGCTGAATAGGAGAATGGTCAACAGATGATTCATTCTAATCCGCTAGTTTGATAGAAAAAGATATTGATTGCCAACTCCCCTGGAACATGAGAGAAAAACCACCTTCCTGACCGTGGAGCTCCAGAGGTGTGAGCAGGACTCCCCATCAGCCCTTCAGACCTGACCCAAATGCTGTCGGGTCCGTTACCTAGAGCACCGGGTCTCAGAGACACAAGCAAGTCTGAGGAGGTGAGGCTCACAGTCTACCAGGCAAGGCAGCGGCAGTCTCAACTATAG